CCCCCCAAGCACTGTCCCCCAACAGAGACCAGTGGCACAGGATGGAGGTCTGTGACGACCCCTCCTGCACGGCTCCTGCAGGACCCCCAGCATCCAGAAATCCCTGCGCAAGCCAGGACCTGATGCCCCACAGCAAACCCTCCCCCAACCCCCCCTCCAAAGACCCCTCAATCCAGCCCCTCTGAAGCCCTTCAGCACCATTTGCTCCCCCTCCCCACCTCTGCCAACAGACATACACTTCCAAAGCTAGAATAAATTAACCCCTCAGAAATGTCAGCACCTGTGTTAGAGAGAAAAAGAAAGTCAAAAGTGCTTGGATCTGCCCAGCCCTGTGGGCCAGCGGGGGCAGAGCCCCCTGAGCCCCCCACAGCTGCACGGGCAGGAGCGGGGTCCCGTGTTGCGGGGGTTCCTGCCCATGTCTTGGTTGGCTCAGGATCCGGCGTGACCGCGCTCTGCCGCGTCCTCATGCCGCTCGGTCGCCTTGATGCCAAAGCCAGCCCCATCCTGATGCCCGCCCCCCGCAGAGAGGAACCCCAGTGTTACAGACCTCCCACACCAGCCCCCCCCCGAGCTGGGACGGGGCGGGGGGGGGGGCAGGTGCAGGGAAGGCAACGGGAGCTCAGTCCTTAAACCTCCGGCTGGCTTGCATTTTCTTGTAGTAGTGGTCCACCTCGCTGTCCACCTGCCCGTCCCTCTCGGCCGGCTTCCTCCGCAGCGTGGACTCTCGGCTGGCCGTGCCCAGCAGCCCCTCGGGGGGGGCGTCCGCCCGCTCCCCGCTGCCCCCCACCGCCCCTGGGATGGCGGCCAGGCTGCCGTAGCGTGGCTCATCCTGCTCCATGTCGCTGACGGAGGAGCCGGGGGAGACGCCGGCGCTCTTGGCCGGGCGGAAGCCGCGGAAATCCTTCCCCATCTCGCCCAGCTCGTAGGCGTCCGGCCCCTCCGGCCCCTTCGGCCCCGACTTCCACTCCCAGGGCCCGTTGCCAGCGGAGAGGTGGACGACGGGATGGTGGGGAGCGTGGGCGTCGATGGTGATGATGCTGGAGCTGTCCCGCTCGGAGGGCGAGCGGTACTGCGAGGAGTCGGAGCTGGTGGAAGAGGAGGAGGTCTCCGAGTGCTTGGGGGTGACGGAGACGATGCTCTGCTGCTTGGACATGGCGATGACCTGCATCAGGCGCGGGGGGTTGGCCACCCGCTGTGCCCCCCCCTTCTCCGCCACCATCACCCACTTGGCCCGCACAGCCGCCCCGCTGCCAGCCGGGACGCCGGCACCCGCCTGGCTCTCCTCGGGGATGTGCACCAGCTGCGAGGCACCCGGCCGGGGCTGGATGAGGACGCGGGGCCCCATGGCCGCCCGCTCGGCCGAGCGTGCTTGCACCGTGGGGTAGAGGGAGGGGGGGACGTCCTCGCCGGTGTCCCCAGCACCCCGGCCGTGCGCCGCCTCCTCCGCCAGCGTCATGCTCCGGCCCTCCAGCGACTTCTGCTTCCACTCGGTGATGAGCTGCTTGGAGCGGGAGGCGTCCACGGGGACGTGGATGGTCATGTGGCGCCGCGCGGGGTCGTCCATGGAGGGGGTGTTGACGCGGGGCAGGGTGTTGCTGAAGGTCACCATGTTCTCCTTGACCATGGGGCTGCGGGGGGCCAGCAGGTCCACGTCCACACTGGCCCTCTTCAGGCTGCCCAGGGAGTTTTTCTCTCGCGGCACTGGCCGCGCAGCCTCCTCCAGCCGCGTCTGTGGGTTCAGCTCATCGGTGCTCACTGACTTGTTCTGGTGGTAGACAGAGTCGTGGCCCCGCTGCGTCAGCGCCCGCAGCGCGTCCTTGGCCGGTGCCGGTGCCGCGACCCTCTCCGTCGGGGCGCGGAAGTTGCCGACGGCGTGGTAAGCCTGCGGGAGGGGGAAGTGCGCGGTCAGCCCAGCCCCAGGGACCACGGCCCGCGCCAAGCATCCTTCCCCTCCCGAGGCACCGTGGCTGCCCCGAGGGTGGGGACTGACACCCACCAGGTAGGCGGCAATGCCAGAGCCGATCAGGAAGCCCACATAGACGTCAGCGGGGTGGCTGCGGTACTGGGTGATCTGGGTCAGGCCACAGATGCCGGCAGCAATGGCAAAAGCGAAGACCAGGATGGGCTTGAGGAGTTTGGTGCTGTCCGAGATGATGGAATTGAAATACATCTGGTGGCAGCGGAGGCAGGGCAGGAACAGGCTGTTAGTCGCGGCTCACGGCACTGGCACCTGCTGCCATCACAGCACGGCAGCTTTCCCCCTCCCTAGCCCCTGGCCATGCAGAGAGCTCTTGGGTGCACATGGAACTGCAAGTGCCTGCACGTGCATAGGTGAGAAACCGTGCACATGGGTGTGAACGTGCCCGCACCCCAACATGGGCACACGTGTGTCAGGCAGAGCTTGTCTGTGCATGGGAGGGTGTATGCTGACGGGAGGGGGATGCCGCTGCCTGGTGGCACAGAGCTTGCGCTGCCCCCGAGCTGGCACATGTGGGGCCGAGAGCCAGGCAGTGCCGGGAACTCACCGACACGTAGACGGCAGCGAAAGCCGAGAGCGTCGCATGCTGGGACGGGAAAGTCTTCCTGTGGGGAGACGGGAGGGTGCAGTTGGGATGGGGCAGGATGGTTGGCATCGCAGTGCGGGTCTCCCCCCCGGCACATACCTGGCGGAGAGGATGGCGTGCTTGTCCACGCCCGAGCAGATGTCCTGGGTGATGTAGGGGTTGGCATCGCAGGGGGTGCCCAGCAGTGTGTAGTTGGGCTTGCAGACGGTCAGGAAGAAGGGCGCGTGGTAGCCGGTGGCCAGCTGGATAACATCCGTCACCAGGGCCGTGGCACAGAGCCCAAATACATGGACACCTGGGGATGGCAGGAGCAGGATGGCAGGTCACCCTTGTCCCACACAGGGCACCCAGGGACCACCCAGCCCTGGGGCACCCACTGGGACGGGTCCAGTGCAGTGTCTGGGGTCTGGATGAGGCTGTGCGTTCCTGCTATCGCACCCGGGGTGCCCCCCCTGCGGCAGGCAGGGTCCTGCCCGGGCTGCAGCACAACGTACCCACAAACCTTACAGTCCGGCGCAGGAAGGAGTTGAAGTTGCAGCCGCCGGCGTTAATGCTGCCCTCGGCACCGGCGCGTCCCTTCAGCCTGGACTGCAGGCAGTACACGATGCCCTCCCCGACCATGATCTGGGGAAGAACCGATGATGGCTCAGGGGGTTCCGCCCCACGGCAATCGGGGGGTCTGGGCTGTCGGCAGTGCCGCCCCACAGATGCAGGGTGCTGGCAGGCTGCCCACACTGGTCCCCTGGTGCTGCTGGCACCAGGACCCCAAGCCCTGGCCCCCAGCCCTGGCTCTGCCTCTGGGCAGGCTCCATTCTCACCCCCCACCCCTCCCCCAGCGGGATGAGCCCTGGGACGCACTGAGGCGGCGGGCGCAGCGAAGGCCAGGCTGAGCAGCATGAGCAGCGGGATGAGCTCCTCGTTGGTCTCCACGTAGGGCATGGAGAGTGCCCGGTCGTAGCACTGGAAGCCCACCTTGGCCGGCTTGAAGAGGTCCGTCAGCTCCAGGAAATAGAGCGTCACGATGGAGGAGGCCACGATGGGCAGCTGGGGGGGGGTGAGAACATCGGGACCACTGCACCGCCTGGCACGACGGGCACCGGCATCGCACGACCCTGCCAGGAAGGGGCAAAGCCCCCATCCCCTCCGTGCCAGGGCAGGACCAGGCCCTGGGGAAGGAGCCCCCCCTCCCCCCACTCCCACCCACCCCACACCCACCTCCACGAAGTAGAAGCAGGGCAGGAGTGTCATGCTGTCCTTGGGAGCCCTGGCCTTCTCCTTGGGGGGGATCATGGTCCTGGGGCAGGTGCCGGGGTCCCGCTGGGCTGTGCCTCTGCCCTCCTGCGGGGCAGCAG